TGAACTCCTCAGAGGCCCCGCCTTTTAGGGCCAGCCGTCCTCCCATTTCACAGATGGAGCCGTAGAGACTCCCCTCAAAAGTCACACAGCTAGGAGGAAGCCAAGTTCAAATCATGGCACATCCATCCCTGTCCAGGGCTTGTTTCTCACCTGCCTTGCCCCACTGCTAACTCCGACAGCTCTTGAGTTCGGCATCCAAGGGCAGAACCTGGAACCCAGGGGGAGGGAGGCACAGGGAGGCGTGAAGGATGGGAACCACTGCACTGCCCGGCCTCCTGTGGGCTGCTCGGGCTGACTTCCCCCTCGCCAGTTCTGCTGCCCTTAACTGCGGCCTTTGGCAGGGGGTGTAACCTCTGCAGGTGACGCTTGGGTCTCCCTGTTGGAAGAACTGGCAAGATGCCGTGTGCTGACTTTAAGAAGCAAATGAAGATTGGGCGCAGTGGCTCATGCCTGTAATCCTAGCACTTTGGGAGGCCGAGGCAGGTGGATTACTTGAGGTCAGGAGTTCGAGACCTGCCCAGCCAACATGGTGAAACCCTGTCTCCACTAAAAACACAAAAATTAGCCGGGTGTGGTGGCAGGTTCCTGTAGTCCCAGCTACTCGGGAGGCTGAGGCAGGAGAATTGCTTGAACCCGTGGGGGCAGAGGTTGCAGTGAGCCGAGATCGCACCACTGTACTCCAGCCTGGATGACAGTGATACTCCGTCTCAAAAAAAAAAAAAAGCAAATGAGCCCTGTGCCTGGCATCCTGAGTGGGGATGGAGGCTGACATATGTATCTGGGGGTCAGAAAGACCTGCGTTCAATCCCCCCGCCACCAGTTGCTCAAGGCTTTCAGCAGCCTACCCCTCAGCCTTGCTCAACTGTAAAATGGACATGATGGTGCCTCCCTCACACGGCTGCCGGGAGGAGGTGACCTCAGTGGAGGGCTCTGGGGGCTCCTGGTCAACCAACAACAGTTGTTGTTTTTTACCTCCTCCTTCCTTTGAGGGTCACCCTGCGGCTGGAGGGCCACCTGGGAACATGGTGGCACACAGGTGCTGAGTGTTAGTGCAGAAGAGGCTCTGGTCCAGTTGCCAGCCAGGATGCAGTACTGCCCGGTGTCACAGCCAGCTACAGGCAGGGCTCTCAGACCCAAATGCCTTCCGGGGCCAGGCAGGAGCCACAAAAGCATGGAGGTGGAGCCTTTCCTCTTAACCACTCATGCCTCTGTCCCATTGTCTCTCAAATGCTTCGGACCTGGGGATAGGGCTCATAAGTACAAGGGTCCCCAAACCATCTGCCGATCCCCTGCTGCAGCAGGGCTGAGACGGAGGGAGGCCATGCCCAGCCCAGCACCTAGGAGAGGGACACGCCCTTTAGCAGCCAGTCCCGCCCTGTTCTTTCCTTTTGTTTTGCTCTGCTCTGAGACAGGGTGTTGCTGTGTCACTGAGGCTGGAGTGCAGTGGAGCAATCTCACAATCTCAGCTCACTGCAACTTCCATGTCCCAGGTTCATGCGATTCTCCCACCTCAGCCTCCTGAGTAGCTGGGATTACAGGCGCGCACCACTACTCCCGTTTAATTTTTTTTTTTTTGAGACAGTGTCACTCTGTTGCCCAGGCTGGAGTGCAGTGACAAGATCTCGGCTCATTGCAACTTCCGCCTCCCAGTTTCAAGCGATTCTCCTGCCTCAGCCTCCTAAGTAGCTGGGATTACAGGCACGTGCCACCATGCCCAGCTGATTTTTGTATTTTTAGTAGAGACGGGGTTTCACCATGTTGACCAGGCTGGTCTTGAACGCCTGACTTCAGGTGATACAGCCGCCCCGGCCTCCCAAAGTGTTGGGATTACAGACGTGAGCCACTGAGCTCGGCCAAGGCCGGCCCTGTTCTGAGGTCAGCCACAGCTGCCAGGTTCTCAGTGCAGCCTGGGCCTGCTCCCAGCTCCGTGGCCCCTGGCCACAGAAGGGTACTGTCCCACTGATGAGCTTACATCTGGTGTCAAGACCCATAACTGCCCCCGGGCAGAGGGCCCAAAAAGCCCCTGTGGCCTCATGCAGCTCACAGGAGCTTTTTGGACTCAAAACACCTTCCCACTGGGAATGCTGATCAGAATCCCAAGTCCAGATGGTAGACACGCAGGGAACTGGCACGGGTCCCCGGGAGACAGCTTTCCCCATGACTCTGCTTCCCGGCAATAAACTGATGAGTCAGGAGTGCAGAACACCAGAGTTCAAACGCAGCCCTGCCACTTCCCCGCTGTGTGGCCTGGGGCAAGCACCTTAACCTCTCTGAGCCTCAGCTCCCTATCTAGCAGACAGAACCCAAACCCAGACATGGTTGTTGGAAAGTTTAAAATGAAATAGGCTGGGCGTGGTGGCTCACACCTAGAATCCCAGCACTTTTTGGGAGGCTAAGGCGGGAGAATCGCTTGAGCCCAGGAGTTCAAGACCAACCTGGGCATGATAATGAAACTCCCGTCCCTGAAAAAAATAATTATATGTATATATCTCTCTCTGTGTATATAAATATACATATAAACATATAGATATACAACCGACCGAAGCCCCCACACAGACATGGTTGCTTTGGAAGTTTAAAACTAGAAAATAGGCACTGCGGGTCGTGGCTCACCACTCACGCACTCCTAGCTTTTGGGGAAGGCCTAACGCGCGGCGGACGAATCGCTTGACCAGGAGTTCAAGACAACCTGGGCATGATACTGGAAACCTCCGTCCCTCGAAACAAAAATAATATATGTATATACCTCATCCTCTCATGTGTCAAAATTAAACCTAATATACATATAAACATACTGGATTAATACAAATATACATATACCAACGTAATGTATATATGTAATACAGCATATTTAAAACTTACATATGATACATATCACTATAATTATATACATAATATATGCCATATTTCATATAACGCATACTATTATACAACACACATACTCTGCATACTCACTTTTCCTGTATGTATAATGTATACTTTCAACATATAAATGAAAATCATATACATACTTTTTCCTACACACACAACACACCCTTATATACCTATTCAGACAGAGTCTTGCTGTGTTGCGGCCCAGGCTGGAGTGCAGTGGTTGCAATCTTGGGTTCATTGCAACCTCTGCGCCTCCCAGGCTTCAAGTGATTCTCGCTGCATCAAGCCCTCCCGGAGCGCTGGAGGACTACTGGTATGCCACAGCCCTACGCCCGGCTAAATTGTTGTATTTTTAGTAGAGATGGCGGTTTTCACCATGTTGGCCAGGCTGGTCTCAAAAACCTCCTGAACCTCAAAAAGCGTTCTGCCTTGCTCAGCCTCCCCAAAGGGGTGCGGATCGTGGTGTGAGCCACTGTGCCTTGGCCTACATATATATTTATTTTATTTATTTTTATTTTAATTTATTTATTTTTTTTTTTTTTGAGGACCCGCCGAGTCTCGCTCTGTCCGCCCAGGCCCTGGAGTGCAGTGGGCCGAATCTCAGCTCCCACTGCAGCTCCGCCTCCCCATTATTTTGAGACAGATCTCACTCTGCTTGCCCAGGTTGGGAGTGCGCGTGGTGGAGTCTTGGCCTCACCTGCAAGCTCCGCCTCCTGGGTTCATGCCATTCTTCCTGCCATCAGCTCCCGAGTAGCTGGGAACTACAGGCGCCTGCCACCATGCCCGGCTAATTTTTGTATTTTTTTTTTTTTTGAGACGGGGTCTTGCCTCGTCGCCTGAGCTGGAGTGCGTGGCCGGATCTCAGCTCACCTGCAAGCCTCCGCCTCCCGGGGTTTATGCCATTCTCCTGCCTTCAGCTCCCCCGAAGTAGCTGGGGACTACAGGCCGCCAGCCACCTCACCCGGCTAGCTTTTTTGTATTTTTAGTAGAGACGGGTTTTCAACCGTGTTAGCCAGGATGGGTCTCGATCTCCTGACCCTCGTGATCCGCCCCGTCTCGGCTCCCAAAGTGCTGGGATTGACAGGGTTTGAGCCACGCGCCCGGCCAATTTTTGTATTTTTAGTAGAGAAT